CGGGCGCCCGCCAGCTGCCGCGTTTCGGCTGCTTTCTTCTCAGGGATCCCGTTCTGCGCGTGCGCCAGCCTGGGGAGGCTGATCGAGGTCAGCGTCGAAAAAGCCAAGCCCTTATATAATTGGCTGTGGGTTAGGCAAGAGGAAAAATCATTTCAAAATGGGACCTTGCCAAGATTCTGGGCATTGGGCAATATGTCTTGACCCAAGCTTATACTGAACAACACAGCGTATTGATACTTGCCCAGTGCCGACAAAAACAAACACGCGCACACACAGCATGCTGAAGATAAGCTCAAGCTCTGGCCGCGCGCCTGGATAACTATACATGGTGAAAAGGATGGGCAAAAGCTCGCTGCACAATGGTCGGGCAGGAGGGGGCTCCAAGGAGCAGTACGGCATTAAACACTGGTCCTGGCACAACAAATTCTGAACGAATGGCGCTCAACTACAAATCAGTGCACGCGTAGCCGTGCGAGCCGGCCTGGCCCGACACCAGAAAACACCGTTAAGCACTTGTGCGAAAATCTTGCGTGTCTGAAGCGGTTCGTAAGAAGAGCCGTCCCCAAATCACTAGATCGACTTTCTCCTATTTCTGACCCTGTGCATGATGGGTCCTTCTTCATTTTGTGCGCAAGGCATGCTGGCGACGCCGTGCCCAGCCACTGGCGCCATGGGTCGTCTTTGCGCCAGCCTTCTTGTCAAAAGGGTACGGGGTCGGCCAGGCCTTGCATAACCATGAACTGCTATGTGCTGTAAAGTTGCGCTAAGCTATGCAATGGAACACGATGCAAAACACTGCCGTGACATGCGGTACTATACTCAACCATGCGCCGAGCTACGCCATGCGCTGCTGTTCAAAACCGTGCGCGTGTTTTTTTAACGCAAAGACACACTGCGCTGCGCTGTAACATGCAATGCCACGCGATGTTGCTATGGTATGGCGTACTTGGGACCAACGCGTGCCGATTCCGCTACTCCCCAGACTTCTCCCGGGGCACGTTCTGAGTAGGATTTCGAGACGCATCCAGCGGTGGCAACGAAGGGCTCCCAGGAATACTATGCACGGGTATGCTACGCCGAACCGTGCTATGGCATGCCTTCTTGTGCAACGTAATGACTCGGATTTCCGGGCGACCCTGGGGCTTCTCACGTGCCTTTCTGGGAGCCCCGGAAGGGGCTGATTTCCCACATGTCCGACATGTCTGGGGGTAATCAGCTCCAGTTCCTGTCCTGACGTCCATTTGGGCTCGGATCCCTATCCTCAGTCGCGCGCTCCGGCCCGCGCCGGGGGTCGTCCTCGCTTCCGCTCGCCCTAGCCGTAAAGGCTAGGCGCATAGGCGGCGTGCCGCGCTGCGCTGGCGCGTGAACCACCGCGCGCATCTGGGCCGTCTCTGCCTCTCTCTCTCTCTCTCTCTCGTTTGCTCTCTCTCTCTCTCTCCATCTATATCTCCCCCTCCCCCAAGGGTTTTCACAACGGCTGTGGGAACACATCATCCAAATTCGCCGGCCCAACGGGCCAGAGGCGTGCTAAGATCTCCGGTAACTGGTTCACAATTCTTCTAGTTCGGGCGCGCGGGGCGGCCCCTGGGGGTCCCCTGGCGAAAAGTACCCCGACCGCAGCCCGGGAAGGTCCCGGAAAGGTCTACTCAGAGATGGTTTTCCTCCTGGGTACGGCCTCTCAGGCCCCCCAGAGCGCGCCAAGAGGGTCCCAAGAGGCCCCCAAGACTGCCCAAGAGGCCCCCGAGACGCCCAAAGGACGCTCCAAGACGCCAAAGATGATCCCAAGACGGCCCAAGAAGCCGCCAAGACGCTCCAAGTGGCCTCCAAGAGGCCTCACAAGAGCGCCCCGAGAGGCCAAAATCATAAATTTTACTATGGTTTTGGAAGGATTTTGGCCTTGTCGCATTTTCGGCTTTCCGATGCTCCAAGACGGCCCAAGAGGCCCCCAAGAGCGCACGAAGACGGCTCAAGAGGCCCCCAAGAAGGCCCCCAGAGAGCCCAAACGGGCCCCGAGACGGCCCAAGAGACGCCCAAGACGGCCCAAGAGAGCCCCAAGACGGCCCCAAGAGGGGCCCAAGATGGGGACCACGGACCGAAACCTCAAGCCTTCCGCCCCAAGAGGGCCCCAGGAGGCCCCGAGAGGCCCCCAAGATGGCCCAAGATGCCGCCAAGAGGCCCCCAAGAGACCCCAGGAGGCTCCAAGGAGGCTCAAAAGAGGCCCTACAAGGCTTCAAACATGTCTCCCAGACGCCCCCGAACGGCCTCTCAACAGACCCCAGGGCCTCCCAAAGAAGCATCTGGACGACGGCCCTGTTTGGCCCCAAGAGCGCCGCAAGATGCCATCGAGAGGCTTCCTCCTCCGCCCTTTTCTCTTCCTCCTCCTCCTCATATTTATCTTCATCCTCCTCTGTTCCTTCTCATCCTCTTCTCCTCCTCCCCTCCCCCTCCCCATCCTCATCTTCCTCCTTCCGGCGGCGCCGAAATGGCCCCGAGCCCGCGCCGAAGCAGTAGCGATCATGCAATACGGGCCGGCGGAGTGAGCGAAGCGATTGAATAATCGGCAAGATTATGGCCCAACGTCTGGCCACATCAGCGTTTCCAAAGGCAGGGGGCGGTGTTGGTTCGTCGCAGGCGTCTTCTTATCATGCCATGTAAATCCGTGCGATGCTATGCCAACAACGCTGATGATGACCCTGGTAATGTTATGCCATGCCATACTGCTAGGCAATGTTGTTCTGTGCTACGTTTTGCATGCCAGATGATGGCAGGTCGCTGCCTTGTGTAAGTCTCCAAGCACGAACAATCCCGATTGTGGTCGCGCCGCCTGCATGATTGTCACAACGCGTGCACACTGCGCAACACGCCTAACTCCTCCCTGATCTCCATTGGTCCTTGGCACCCGGGCGGCCAGGGCTCCTCGTCGCCACGTATGCCCAAACGGCAAGGCCGGCGGATCACGGGCGGACCCGCGTGCGGCCCAGGCGGCATAAGATCGCTTGTTGCTGAAGCGTCAGGCCGCATCAAGCAGGCGGCCCTGCTGTGGCCATGCCACTCGCCGTCTGGTTCGGCACGCTGGGCAGCCTTGCGAGGGGTAGGCCCGCCGGACCGGGGACCTCCGACGAAGAGCACGTGTAAGCTACGTAGAAGCCGAGGGAGTCGACGTATTCCTGGGAGTGGCCGTACAAGCCCACCAACCACGCGCTCCTGGGAAAGTATCCAGTCGCGTTGCCCACAGCGTCCTTGAAATTCACAGTTTTTTTGTAAATCCCACCAGGGCCGCCCACGGTCTGCTGAACGCCATCTTCTGTCCAAATGGATATCTTGTCGATGTACCTCTCGTATGTCAACTCGACAGCACTGATTTTCTGGCCGTCAGAAAAAGTCATTGTCCCATGGACGCCGCCCTTCCCGCCATGCTCTGACAGGGGCCAGTTGTCATTCCCCAGAACCAGCACAAGCTGGATGAAGTCAATCCAGCGCTCGCTTCGATACTCGATCTGCTTCACCTGAAGGTTTGTGAACAGCCCGTAGAGCTCCACCATCGTGGCGGAGTCGTCGAACGCCTGGCCATTGGGGCCGCCTCCGCCCCAGACTTTGGCCAGGCAGGTCTTTTCTGCAGCTGCCCCGCTGGGGTCGGACACACTCTTGGTGCAGCTGTCGACCTTCCCTTCCTTGAGCAGCTTATCGGGGCAGTACTCGCGCAAGGCCCTTTCTATGTTCTCTTTCTTGGCTTTGAGCTTCGTCACATTTGCCTGAGTCGAGACAACTGTACCCGCGAACAGCTCGCTGAGTGGCTTGAGCTCCATCGAAATGGGCATTGGCTTCTTGATCGTGTCCGTCAACCATTGCTCCGGGTCTCCAGACTGCGGCGGCAAAGCCCCGAGTGAGTACTTAAGAGTGTTCGTGCTGTACTTCTCGAAAAAGTCCTTCGATAACATATCTGCGGAAGTGGCCGTGCCCGCCTTGATCGAAACTATGAAAGAAGCCTGCGCCGCTACCCACCAATCACTCTTCGTCTCTTTCATGTTGTCGTACTGGTCACGTGTGAACTGGGTCTCCTCGCCGTACATGGCGCCTAGCTGCACAGTCGACAAAAAGTGTGTGCCGAACTCGCCGATGATCTCAAAATAAAAATCTTGATCATATTCTACTGGAGCCATATCCACGGCTGCCAAGAAATTGTCGCTGGCCGGCGGGGGCTTGAAAGTTTGGACGAAAGCCTTGTAGGCACAACAATGGGCAGTGACAACGGTGTAGACGCTCTCGTGAGACTCAAAACCATCTTGGACGCGCTTGAAATCCGCAGATCCCGTAAAACTGGCAAAGTCCCCGAACTGGACGTCCGTATAGACACTGGTGGACAAGAAAGTGTAATAATCCTGCATGCTCGTTATCTCCTGCACCGTAGTAGTCAAAGAACAAGAGCCCTGACATTGGAGCATGGTGATCCCGTCCGGAAGCGCAATGCCGTCTGACGACCACTCGCTGCCATAGTTCGCCTTGAACACCTTGTTCCGGAAACCCGGGTCAACAGCACCGTCGGTGGGGTCTGGATTACCGAGGAAGGCGTCGTAACCGCTGATGACATAATCGAGACCGTCCAGCTTCCCGCCCGCGCCCGCTGACAGGCGGCGGGGCGCCGAGGCGCTACGGCCACTGGACGAGCTCGTCCGCAGGCCACTCCCTACGGGCGCGGCGCATCTGACGAGCGCCCACGCGACCACTGCGCAGCTGACGAGCGCCCAAGCGACCGCGGCTGCCTCGGGCGGGCTCTGTCTGAACATCGTGGCTTGTGGAACGACGCCCCTCGTCGCTGGCGGCAAGGGAGGCCCGCGCTTCGTGGAGTGAGCCATAACGGCTACCGAGGAATGGTCCGAAGATGCGGTGGAAGGGGGGGCGAAGTAGGAGGTGAAAAAAGAACGGGTTGCAGGAGGAGAGAGGAGGAGGGCGGATGGCAGCAATGAGGAAGCCTCAACGACGTCTCGAGCTAAGCCCCGCACTCGCGTGAAAAAGCAAGACCATCGACATGGCCGCTGCTGGTGACGCTCACGGCGGCCGTGGCGTTGGCGGTGGCGTCTACGGCGATGCGTGCAGAGCGAACTATCTCTGACAGCACCACCTCGGGAGGGCCGGCAAACAAGGGCTGACTGCAACAACCACCGAGACTCAAGACCAACGATGACGGTGGAGTCATTCAGAAGACGGAACTCTTTAACAAGAGCGCGTAGAACACGAAACATGCTGTCCGCTTCCCCCTACTCGTCTCCTCAACCCCCTCTACACATCAGGCACACATTGCGATCAATCCGAACGTGCTCTACGCAACGGGCAGAAAGATTTGTAACACTTGGGGCCACGCGGGACTGTGCGTGGCCGTCCCGTCGTCGGAGGCACGCGCTGCCTGATCTGTACATGGACAACGCATTGGACACAACCGCCACCTGCCAAGGCTAAGGGGGGAGAGCACGTAACCTGCATTGCAATCGCATCCACTGTCAAAAGCGAAGCATAATAAGAGATCGTGTTTTTTTCTGCCAAGGACCGAGCTATCCGCTGTAGCAGCTCATGTCCAATGTATTCTGGTGTGCCTGATCACGTACCAGATGCACTGGCGACCGAAGCAAGTCGGATCCATAGCAGCGCCCATTCCCTTAAAGTTTCAAGAACATCAGTCTGTGCGCTGCTGTTGATCCCGCCTCTGGAGGGGACCCACCAACGCCTCCAGTCAGATCGATTTTCCTATATCCGCAACCCCCCTTCTGGGGCCAACACACTGCGAAGAGGAGCTTTCCTGTCCGTGTTGGGTGGGGAAAGGACGGGGGGGGGGGGGCGAAAGCGACCAAAGCAAATCGGATCCATAGCAACGCCCATCCCCTGTAAATTTCAGGAGCATGAGCGTGTGCGTGCGCTGCTTGTGTTCCCGCCTCTGGAGGGAACACACCAACGCCTCCAGTCCATTCGTTTTTCTATATCCGCACCCCCTCTCCTCTGAGGAGCCAACACGTTGCGAAGAGGAGCTTTCCTGTCCGACAAGATTACGCCAAGAGGTCACACTCCCTAGCGCATTACAATAGATTCGCTCCCCGCAGGGCCACATTCCCTCGTAGATTCTGGCGCGCGCGGTCTCACCATGCCACAACCCCTAGGTCGCAATCCATGGTCACTTCTAACACGCTCCCGCTCGAAAATCACAGCCCATAGGAAAATACGACGGATTCGCGTTCCCGAAGCCTCATTCAAAATCGCGCCCCCGAAGCCACGATCCTTTGTAAATCACGGCGCGCTCGCGCTCCCGAGTCCGCAAAACCAGAACATAAAACTGCTATGTCTGCCTTGGGGTAGGCGCTCATGGGGGACACTTTTCGCGTCCCCCCCCCCCCATCCACCCCATGCTTCCTGAGAGTTCCGTTCTGGACCTGAGGCAACGAATCCTTGAAAATAGCTCGGGCTGCGCGCTCCCCAAATAGGAACCAGAGAATACATTAGGATGGCAACGCCCTCCCGAGACCACCACCCCTGCTGGAGTACCACAGCCAGGCACGACCAACACAAATCAACTGCCATCCGTCAACATAGATAAGAAGCCAATCGGCCGAATTGCCAGCCAAACAACCGATAAGACAACCATCCAACTCCCGGACTGAACTTGGCCACGCAAGCAATGTTAGGGGGGACAGGCGGCAAAGGGCGAAGCGGTTCAGATAACCTGGTGGATACGCATAAACTACAATGTCTGGATCTTCCCGCGCAAGCAGCATCATATTCGCATCCCGTACTGCTTTTGGTCGACCGTACTGGTTGCCAGGCAATCTGCCTTTAGATTTGGTGTAGCGCCCCAGCGCCCCCCACGAGATCGAAAGACCACAAAGGAGGACAAGGTCTTACACGCTGGCCCTCCAGGCAGAAACGGGCCACGTTCCCGAATCTATTTTGATTGCGAGGCCAGCGCCGTCCAACGTTTGTAGGAAGGCTTCACGCCCCCGCTGACGGTTTCACTCGGAACACCCCCCGTTTTCACAACGCCCACTAAGTGTCAGACCCGCAAATTTTGAACGTGCTATGCTGGTAGCGGCCGTCACAAACCTGCAAGCGACGCCGGCCGGCAAAGAACTGCAAATGGCTTCCAATCCTGGAACTTCAGCCAACAGGCCACCAGCACATTCGCTGTTTCTGAACCTCGTTGCGAGTCACGCGTGCCGAGAAGAACCTGCACATCATGTTGTGTCTACCATGTTTTCCTCCACGGTGCATATTACATGCTGGTGTTCGCGCTGGTCGCCAATGTCGAGCAGCCAGCGGCGGTCGCTCTGGCGTTGAAGCCTCGCGGGGTGGGAGAATGTCCGCCCTGCGGGGGTGTCGCACTAGAGCTGGCAGTTCAGTGCGACAGCTCCGAACGTAGGGTTAAAAAGGGTAAGGAGGGCGCGCGCGCGCGCTCAAGCCATTTTGCGTCGGCACCGCGTCCAGCTTCCCCCTCTTCGGCCCCTTCGGGCGCGCCACAACCATGGCAGTCGCCGCCTGACTCGCGGCCCAGGCGTTGACCGCCGCGCTGCGCTGGGGCGCGGGCGCGGCCGCCGCCGCTGGGCCCCCGCTGTCAAGACAGTGGCTTTCGGGAACTCCGACCCTTCACTCTGTCCTCTGAAAACGTTTCTAGGGCGATAGTCGTAAACGTCATTTTTCCCAGAGCAGAAACAGTGAACATGAGAGTTTCCAGGGGAGGAAGTTGTCAACAATTACATCGTTTTTTTTTTGTTTTTCAGCCATTGTATCATAGCACCAGCGAAGCACTGCAATGGCACAGAAGTGACAAGCATATTCTTAGAAGTGTGCTAGGTGGCCAGTGCACGCCGTCAGGCGGAAGGTTGTGTACGTGGTGTATGCCGTGTTTCTTAAGTGCATGGTCAGAGTTGGTTGAGTTATATATATATATATATTATTTATTTCTATATATATATAAACAGGCGGCAATAAGTGTTGCCGCGTGACATGTGCTGCACATTGTTTACAAACTCTGACATGCATTCAGTGCGTTGGGCTAGCTGTGGGGTTGATCGGGCGCTCTTCTTTCGTAGTAACTGGCGGCGCGCCCTCAACGAGGGCAGCAAAAGGAAGAGGGGGAGGGGGGGATTGCACAGCATCATCAGAATCGTCATCATCACCGCCTTCAGCTTCCGAATCGGATAAGCGGATGGATGAGGCCAAGACGGGGCACAATTCAGGGTCGGAGGCGGGGCGCGGAGACCACGCGGAAATTTATGGATGGCCCATCAGCGCAACCATGGGGGTAGGACGGGGACTTTTCAGCAGCGGGGGGGGGCAGCGGGAATTGAGACGGGCAGAGCCGATTGGATGACCAGAAGGAGCAGGAGCAGGTGGGGATGACGAGTGGGGAGGAGGATTACTTGATTTGCATGTTTGCTTTTCTGTTGCAAGCTAAAGCATGCTTCTGGCGTGCTGGGCGCCGCTGCCCGGGCACTTGCGCGAGCGAACGCAACCCTGAAGCTGTGAGCCCTGACAACTCACAAGGACAGCCACGTGATGGTATTATGTAGTGTTCCTCCGTCTCATCCTTTTCCTCCTCATCCTCCTCCCCCTCCTCCGTCTCCTCGTCCGTTTCCTCCTCCCCCTCCTCGTCGTCGTCCTCCTCCTCCTCCTCCTCATCGTCCTTCCCGTGCTCGCCATCTTACTTCTGTGGCCTGGAGGCTTCAGGGCAAAGTCGACAACTTCGAACTGCGAGCCAGCTGGAATAATCGCCATCATCGGCCACCCGGCAGCGCGGCCACTGAGCGAGCGGCACTGCCAACCCCCGGCGTTTGAGGCGGGAACAGGCTCATTATAACGTCGACCTTGAAAAGGCGGCACTCGCAACGACCAGCAATCACCTAGAACTCAAAATCAGATAAACGAAGCAACCAGCCGCGCGTCGATCACTCACCGAGGACGTGCTTCGAGAAGGCGGCCCACACCGCAGCGCGGTCCTTCCACACCTGCGCACTCTCCGTCTTGCAATGGTCGTCGAGGTCCTTGGCCAAGGCGGCGAACGCGTGCTTCGGGGTCTGCTGCGCGAGGCCAATCGCCAAGACCGTCACTGAGAGAAAGTGGGCCCATTTCGCAGCCTCCCTGTCGTTTGCAGCAACCCCGTTGTAGCACACCGCAGTGCACAAGAAACCGTGGGGAATCCACGCCATCGTCATCTTCGGCAAAGTGAAGATCGCGCACGCCTTTGGGTTCATGAACTCGGCGCCCGCGTCAGTCTGCAGAAACCGAGTGTGGAATGTAGTCCACTCAGTCCACTCCTACTCCTCCTCCCTCCTCTTCTTCCTCCCTCTTTCTCTCTTCCCTCCCCCCCCTCCTCCTTCCCTCGCCTCCTCCTCCTCTTCCTCCTCCCCGTCCTCCTCCGTATCCTCCTCCTCCGTCCTTCTCCTCATCATGTCCTCAGTCCTCTATCACCCTCCTCTCTCTTACTCCCCCCTGCTTCTCCTCCTGCTTCTCCTCCTTCTCCCCCCTCCTTCCTCCGCCTCCCCGCGTAGGCATATGGGTAGTTTTGTTCACAGGCCAACCCTGGCAGGTTGGAGATCACGATGCCATTGTTGAGCAGGTCGTGGATCTTGTGCACCATGAGGATCATGGCCCCGTCGAGCGCCGCCACGTAGCAGCCAGCGCCCAACACGTTGAACGCCGCAGGGCCCCTCCGACAGGCGTCGCGGCGCAACGTCACGGTGCTCGGGTGGTTGTCTGTCATGAACAACTCGCCCGCGATGGCGGGCATGTGGAATTCCACTTTCGTCAAGTCGGCGCTCAGACGCGCGAGAGCCCCAGCCCACTTCGCGGTCGACATCTGCGCGTCCAGCGCCCTCACCTTCTCGCGGGGGGCCACCTCGCACTTGTCCATGGTGGCCTCTCGCGCCTTCCACATCTTCGAGCCGGCCTCGGCCTAGGCGCAGATCTGGTCGGGAACCGGATCTGCGGGGGTCACGTTGGCGATCTTATAGAACACTCCAGTCGTCTCAGCCGTCAGCGGGGTGCCAGAACTCTCGCACACGATGTTGCCAATGACCTTGGCATGCTCGGCGTGGCAGCCGCCTGCAGTCAAGGCGTTCGCAACCTTCGCTGGACAAGCGAACCTTCCCTCATCACCTCACTCGTCCTCCTTCTCCTCCTGTCTGCTGATGTTGCTGCTGCTAGCCCTTCCGCTCCTACTCCCAGTCCTCATATTCCTTCCCCCCCCTGCTCCTCCCTCCTCCTCCTCCTCCTCCTCCCCCCTCCTCCTCTCCCCTGTCCTCCAGCGGCTGGATGACAGGAAGGGTTATGAGATTGAGTTCGCTTGTCCAATTGACCTTGCTCTTCTGGTGGCGCACTGCCACGTGCCCCGTGCGCTGCGCCTTCCTGGCGGTCGAGTCCACGACGCCGAACGTAGTCATCTTCTTCTTGGCCTGCGCATCTAGATCATCGAGCTTCGACGTCACCTCGACCGCCCTCAGCTTGAGAGCCTCCACGCCGTCAAGCTTCAGACTGCTCAGCGACGGCCCCTTGATGTTCTCAACCTCAGCCACGTGCGTCGCGAAGCCCATGATGATCGTAGAGCAATCTGGAGCATCCACATGCTGCTTGTGCTTGTTCACGAGGGCCTGCAGCTTCTTCGAAGTCGGCTTCGCACCAGTGTGCTTCTTCAGCAGGTTCGTGCAGCTCTCGGCGATCTCCTCCTTGAAAAACCAAGAAGTGCGCCTCCTCGTTGTCGGCCTCGATCTTCGTCTTGATGTCCATCCTCGGGGCCTTGGCCTTCGACGATGCTACATCGTCATCCAGCTTGACGCGCTTGGCCGTGGGCAAGCTTCGCAATGGCGAACTGCCTCGAGGAATCTGCTCCAAGTGGCCAGACGGGAGGTCACCGAGGCCAATCAATCGACGAATATCGGCGCCTGGGCTCACGGCAGGCTCAGAGCCGCCACCGTGGTCATCCACAATGCGCTGCCTCACATTGCCCGTCCTCTTGTCGCGGCCACTCTCCTCTCTCTCGTACTTGCGGGCCTTGATGGACTGGATCGGCTCACCGTCGCTGTCGTAGTGGGGATCTGCCTCCTGCATCATGTCGAACTCCTCGCTGGCGCCATCTGAGTCTACCATGTCCCAGAAGGCTCTGTATGACTTCAAGCGTCGCTTCGAGAAGTACTCCGTCTTCTTCCCCTGGCGCTTCGACTCGATCGTCATGTCGGCCGAATGCTGCACAACGAGGTTCTGCTGCGTCTGAGCACGAGCGACCCTACGACTTGCCGTGTCATTCTGGATGTATGGCTTCACCTCAGCTCGCCATTCGTCGGGATGCGCTTGCACCTTGTCTGCAGCCTCCTTGAGGGCCTTCGCGTTGCCCTTCAGCTGCAAGCGATGGGCTCGAACCGCATTCCAGCGCCGCGCAGAGAGCACGATGCCGCGCCACTCCTTGGTGCAGAACTCTTCCTGCTCACACAAGAAGCACGTCATCTTGTTGGGACCAGCTGCCACGTCGCCGTCTGCCACGCCAAACCCGTCGAGCTGGACTGCACTTGGCTGCGACATGCCAGCAGCGCTGCCTGAAGACATCGCTTATCGCTACGTCTCAGGGGGCAGGCGGGGGGGCCAGCGAAGCTGACAGGATACACAGTATCTGACAGCGGGACGTGCAGCAACGCCGCGAAGCGGCATATGAAGAAGTACTGTTTCAACCACACACTGCACGAGGGCCCAGACGGGCCACACATATATATATATATATACATATATATATATAGAATCATTCAACGGGAGGCTGGTTGAGATCCACATAACCTCAACCAAATCACAACCAACAAAAACTCGAGTTGCGATCGGCATCAGAAGATTATCAGCCCCACGTGTCGTGAGAGCAGGGCCGGGCAAAGCGTTCAAACAGGGAAGGAAGCTTGAGCGGACACGAAAGACAAGCAGGGCAGGACGAGGGATATAACCTGCACTACAATCTCACACGGCCCACCCCCACCACACCACCCCGAGACGCGATCAATTAAGTTTGGAAAACGATCATTATCGCTACGTCTCAGGGGGCAGGCGGGGGGCCAGCGAAGCTGACAGGAAACGCAGTATCTGGCAGCGGGACGTGCAGCAACGCCGCGGAGCGGCCTATGAAGAAGTACTGCTTCAACCACACACTGCACGAGGGCCCAGACGGGCCAAAGATATATAGAATCATTCAACGGGCGGCCGATTGAGATCCATATGACCTCAACCAAATCACAACCAACAAAAGCTCGAGTTGCGATCGGCATCAGAAGATTCTCAGTCCCACTCCCGCATTTGATGCGCCTGGCGTAGCCGAAAAAAAAAAAAACTACACGTTGTGGCCAGGGCGGGCGGGCGGGGGCCACAACGCAGATATCCATGCGAACGGCCAAGCTCACCGTGGGGTGGTGGTCGCGCCCGTCGGCCACCACCTCTAGGGGGCCCTCGTATGGCGCCCCTAGCCGCCCACATGGGGCGCCCCCGCTTGGCCTGTCGCCTCACTCTGTCCACCATCCAGTTCCCTCTCCCCACGTCTCGTCGGAGTAGAGGTCGTCGGACTCTGGGCAGCTTGTGTCACCCTTGGTGGACTTCTTGTTGGTGGTGGTCTTCTGCTTCTGCTTTGTGGTGGGTCCCAGCATCAAGAGCTCTGCGGCGACATCTTTCACCTTCTTCGTCTTCAGATTCGTCCTGATGCCGTCGACCAGCTGCTGCTGCTGCTGCTTGCTGTAGTTGGTGCGGGACTCTATCGCACGGAGTATCTCGGCAACTAGGTCCGAGGTCGCACGGAAGCCCACGTCCAGCACCTTCTTCGGCGTTTGTGCACGGAACTGCGTGAGGGCGAACGTCTTGGAGTACCGTTTGACGCTGGACAATGCCTTCCACCTGCCCCGCCTCCGCACCTGCTCTAGGCTGGCCCGTCCTCGGGCCACGTCCTCGCTGGGCCCCGAGTGGCGGGGCCCGTGCGGAGGCGGCGCCCAGGGCATCCCAAGCGAGCGACATGCGCGGTGCCACTCTTTGCGGAAGCCTGCCTGCTTGGGGCCGAAGATGGGCCCCGTGGCATTCTTCTTGACGCCCTTCAGGGCCAGGATGAGGCTCGCGACCGTGCCGCGGCGGATGACGACTCCTTGATTGCTGCCCGTCCTGCCCTCCTCGCCTCGGGCCGAGATGCCAAACAGGAGGCCCACGCATCGGCCATCCCAAATGATGTCGGCCTCGCGTAGCATCTCCATGTCCTGCTCCCGCCCGTAGACGTCGTACTGCACGAGGGTCCAGATGGCTTCATCCAGGAGCCCCGCCTCGAAGAAGTAGATGGCGATGGCGAAGACAGCTTCCTCAGGCAGAGGACCCCCTTCCACAGAGATAACCAGCCTCTGCCAGCTCTTCAGGCTTCGCAAGGCCAGGGGAAGCTGGTTCCTCAGCTCAGGCCAAATCACCAGCAGCCCGAACAAGACGATTGACCCCACGTAGGACGGAGCCGGTCCTTGTAGCACTTCATGTCCACGTAGTCGGCCAGGGCGTGGTCCACGGCGTTCGCGGACCGCAGCTCCCAACCCTTGTCGACGCAGTGGCTAAGAAAGTCTCGAACCTTCGGGGCCCACTGCGCCGCAGTGACGTCCGCCACGGAGTGGGTAAGCAGCCTTGTGAAGCCGCCCTCGCTGATGCCCCGGTGCGGCTCCTTCTCGTAGTTCTCCCGCGCCCGTGGCCCTCGCTTCTGCAGGGGGATGTCCCCCGCCCTGGGTGGCTTCGGGCGAACCGCTCCAACAGGGTGGACTGCCTCCAATACCATGGCAGCTACCCACCAGCGTATCCCGTACATGCGCGGCCCAGGTCGCGTAGATCGTGACCTCGGCTGTCCGTTGGAGCGGGGTGTCGGTCGCTGTGAGCTGCCACCGTCTCGGGCGCCGCGCCGAGGAAGCCCCCCCGAGAGAGGCCGTCGGCGACGTTCAGCTCCGACGGGACGTAGCGGTAGTACCCATGAATCGCGAAGCCCACGGTGATCGCCGCCGCCTGGCGGCACAAGCGCAGCAGGGCCGGTGAACTCGAGCGGCCCTTGCCCAAGGCCCCCAGAGCCACCGTGCTGTCTGTGAGGATCAGGACCTTCCGCCTCCACATCCGTGATGATCTGGCCAGGTGTCGCAGCAGGCCCACCACGGCCCGCGTCTCGCTGATGTTCGTGTGCTCCGTGATCCTCCACCTCCCGAAGTAGAGCGGCCGCCATCTCGCGATCGGCATCCAGGCGGGGGACAGCGGGGAGACTCTGACTCGATCGCCCCGCCTCACCTCGATCCTCGCCCTTCCCGGCCTCGGTGGGCCGAAGGACGAAGTGGATGGAGACACACGCGAGCCCGTCGGATCGGGGCCCCTCATCTCCTTCGTCATGCGGGCGAACGCCTCGATGATCACCTCCGCCAGCGCGGCGCACAGCGGCGGCTGGTACGCCTGGGCGGAAGCGGTGCAGAAATCGGGACGGCCGCGCTCCACCCGTCCCTTGAGTACTGCCTGACGCCTCCCTCGGTGGTTGCACCTCAATCGGAGACGGTCCGCGGCGAGGTCCAGTGCGTCGTCGTAGAACCCGAAGATGCCAATCATGGTCGGCTTCATCGACGGGGCTCCGTAGCGGCACTGGTCGATCCGATTGATCCTCCCGCCCGTCTCCTCGAGGAGGCATGCCATCTCGGGTAGGTTCCAGATTGACGGGCGTGGGTCCTCCTCTGGGTCCGCAGGGTGCTCCATCAAGCCTGGGCCTCCAGCTCGACATACCTCGCGGACCGCCTGCATGGCCGACAGCAAAAGGCGCGACCCTAGGTCCAGGCGGAAGCGCTCGAAGGCTGTGAATGACATGTCGCTCCGCCCCCAAGGCTCGAGGCGCGTCCGCAAGGGCCTGGGCCCCTTCTCCAGGAAGCGAGCCCGACTCCAAGTTGAACGTGGGGGCGAGGCGATCACTGCGTGGAAGTACCCGTCGCGCGCCAGGCTCAGGATCAAGCTGACGAACTCGTCGTTGGTGAGGTCGTGCTTCGGGTTGATCACCGCGTCGATGGACCAGACCTCGACCTCGTAGCCGTCGCGCTCCGCCCGCGAGTGGATGGCCTCCTCTAGATCCCCCTCCCGGCGCCTGCCCGCGAAGAGGTGCAGCACCCGGTAGACCCTCCGGCTTACCCGCGGCGGCGGTGCAGTCGATGCCTCGATAAGCTCGTCGACGTCGTAGGTACACCCCCCAGCGTGGGGGACCCAGGCGTCCTCCTCCTGGGCTGTGTAAATATCCTCGGCGGCGATCGTCCATCCCCTCATCTCGCTGTAACGGGCGTCCTTCCTGATCTCCTCCAGCGAGGCGTCGGTGACCGCCGCTCCGTAGCCCGTGTCGCTGGAGTCCGTCATGAACACCTGCGAGAGCCACGGAGCTTCGAGATCCGTACGTAAGAGGGGTGCGCAGTATGCCATTGTAGTCAGCTCCCACCTTGCCGCGTCCGTCAGTCGGAACGGCGTCTTGGCGGTCTCGGGACGTCTCATCTCGTGGTACACCTGGTCGAAGATGGCGAGGCCCGTGCGCTGGAAGATGGCCGCCCACGCCCACAACCCCACGACACACTCGAGGAGCTCCGCGGTCCAGTACGTCCGCTCTACCAGCCGCAGCGTCACCAGAGCCAGGCCGCAGGTGCGGTCGGTCTCGGCTGAGACGGAGTAGGGTCGGCCTCGGATGACCGCCCCCAGCGACTCGAGCCCCTCGCCTTCGGTCTCCTTGTGGACGGGGAGCCCGACCTGCCTCAAGTAGTGCTTGACTCGGGCCGTCAGTCCGCTCGCGACCTCGCTCGCCGGCTGCTGCACGCTGGCGGACGTGGCCATGGCCCCGTAGTCGTCCATGTACGCCCAGTTCACCGACTCGAACCCCTCGGGCCCGGTCAGTTGAGGCGTCGGAGCCCCATAGACCAGACGCGCACCGACGGAGTCCTCCCCGAGCCCGCGCGCCATGCAGGCCTGCAGCGTAGAGTGGGCCAAGAACGGGGCCCACGACCAGCCCATGACTAGGACCTTCAGCGCCAGGAAGGGCCCGCCATCGGGGATGACGCAGTCCCGTCCCTTGGTCCTCATGCATTCGACGAACTCGTGGACTGGTACCTCCTCCAATACAAAGTAGGGCCAGACATCGGGCGGCGTCTCCAAACGATAGAACATGTCCGGGATGTCGCCCACGCCAGTGTAGACCACGCCCCTCTCGCTCAGGTTGGAGAGGTCCACGTGAGCAAAGGTCGCGGGGCTGCCGAGGGGCACGTGCGGGGGCCTCTGCCAGCGGAGGTTGGCCCGCCTCTGGTCCCAGATGGCGCGCACCTGGCGCCTGGCGGGGCTGAGGGGGCCCCCCTCCTCCTGCAGGTACTTCTTGAGGACTCCGAAAAGCGAGACCCCCTCGTCCAGCTCGTCGGTGGTCCCGAACATCCCCGCATCCCAAAGCCTCTCGGCTAGGCGGAGACGCGACGCCCTCGATCGAAGAGACGGATCTCGGTAGACCTTCTGGCCCTTCAGCTCCTCGTCCATGGCCTTGCTGGGCTCGCGTAGCATCCCCCCCGCAACGTCCGAGAAGTACTCGGCGGCCAGCGGGCAGATGTCCACGAGCTTGGCAGGGATGGTCCCTGGCGGCGGAAGAGCCAGTTCCTCCACGTCGACGGAGCACCTCGCGCCCTTTGGTAGCATCTCCCTTCCCTTTGAATCCTTTCCCAGGGCAACCGTAGCCCCATCGCCTGAGCATGGCGAGGCCCGACCGGCCATGACGCGCCGAAGGGCGGCGTCCTCGTCTTCCTTGATCGCGGCCACCTGGCTGCCCCAAGCTAGCCGCGCCTCCAGTAACCTCCTCGAAGTAGCCCTCTGGAGCGGCGTTGCCCGCTCCCACGCGGCCGACGGCCCAGCACCCTCGGCCGCTCCGACCGTGCCCCGCGAGAGGTGGTGCATGGATCGGATCAACCCGTTGGCAAGAGCTCGCACATGTCTCAGCGTGCCTTGATGCATCGGCCCCGCGCGGTCCACCACCACCGACCACGGTAGCAGCGGCAAATCCGGCAGAAGGTCTCGGTCTCGAGGAACGGCTTCGGGAGGCGCGCCTGTGGCCGCCGTCGAGGTAGACGATGGAGAAGTGTGTGGATGGAGAAAAGCGGGCATGGCGTCGCCTCCCGAGGGGCGCAGAACCACGCGAAAAGATCGTCGCGACAAGCAGGAGCGCCACCGATGCTATCGGGAGAGTAAGCCCACCAGAGTGGCCGTCGTCAGGGCGAACGGAACGGTTAACCGCCAGCACCTCCCTCAAGCGCGGGGAGCCCCGCGAGGCACCACAGACAGGGGGAGTTTCTCCAACGTCTACTCGTCCTCCTCCTTCACTGCGTCCGAGCCCCCCTTCTGCATATACTTTTGGAAGAGAGCCTTCTGCTGCAGCCTGGCCGTCAAGTCGCGCTCCACGCCTGGGAGCGCCTCCTCGCCTTCCGCGAGGGACCTCCAGTCCAGCTCGTTCGCGAGGTCCCAGCGCACCTTGGACTTCCACTTGTTGGCCCCGCTGCCCCGGGGCTGCTTCCAGTCGTTGATGCATGCCGCGTCCTTGGACGCCCGCTTCAAAGCATAAGCTCGTGCGCATAAGATCTCGCAGCCCGCCGTCTGGATGAACTCGGGCGAGGCCTCCAGCATCCGGTCCAGCGTCACGCATTGCACCATCATCTCGTGGCCGTGGTTGCGATTCAACTCCTTGAGGCGAACCCAGTCCGTCGCGAACTTCACCATGCTGCCGTACTTCCCGTAGGTCTGGACCAGCAGCTCGGGCGCCACGCGGGAGGTGAGGCCCGCTGGGAGGGTGAAGGTGGGCGGCGCATCGATCTTCGAGAGGTTGGCCAGCAACCGCTCCCTGGGGTCCCGGAGTTCCTCCCTCAAGGGCTCGAGGCTCACCCCCGCGCCCTCCAGCGCCTCCTTCGTCCCCAGGTCGATGGTAGGGCACGTCGTTGATCCCGCCGTGGCCGACGTGGACGAAGCGTCCTGCAAGGGCTTGCATCCAGGAGAGGCCTTGCCCGCATTGATCGTGTCCTCGAAGCGCTTCAGCCGGTCGGTCATCCTGTCCACACGCATGTCCATGCTGGAGTCCGTGTTGACGCTGGGGGCTCTCTCCCAGCCGGCGTGACTGCTCTCTCCAGGGGACGCGGCCGACGAGGCGCTCCGACTCTGGGGGGCGCGTGGTGACTCCGACCTCGATTTGGTGATCTCGTCGAGCAAGTTGCTCATCATGGCCTTCATCTCCTGCATGTCCTTGGCTGGCTCGGACTCGTCCGACGACCCCGCCACCGAGCGGCCCGCTTCCCCGTCGCTGTCCACGTTGCTCACTGGAGGCGAGGCCCCCGCGAGCAAAGGGGAGGGGCGCTGCCTGCAGCAACGCAGGAGACTTGGCCCGAGAGCCACCACAGCGGTGAAGATCATGATGGGAATCTCGAGCTTGCCGTCTTGGTACAGGTCGTGCAGATACCCTCGGAAGTCGTCGATCTCGAGTATCATGTTGTGGCCATCCTCGAGCTTCTCCACTGACTAGCGCATCCACTGCCATAGGTTGCAGTAGACCGCCACCCTCCAGAAAAAGAAGGCGGCTTCCACCGTCGACCCCCAGTTCCATGTGCTCCATACGCCAACCAGACCAGAGCGAAACCAGGACAATGAGGCAACGTAGCCGCGGATGTTGGACAGATACAGCTCGGCATCGAGCTGCTTCTCCTTGGCCTTCTCCAGGATGTCCGTCTTCTCGTTGGCTGTGAGGGTCGGGAACGCCTCGTAGTCCCAGCCTGGCTGTCGACGACTCGACATCTTCGCCCGACCCTTGATGTCGCCCACGCCGAGCGCGCGGTCCGGCTTCACGTAAGTCCACCTTGTGTCGTTCTTCTTCTTGGGGTACATTCGCATCGCCAGGAGGGCCACCTGCCCCCGCTGGGGGCCAGTCGTCCGATAGAAGCGGCTCCATCGTGTCACGCTGGACATGTGCACCCGCAGATAGTCGTAGAAGCTGAGCCGCTCGGACTCTCTCGTGTACCTGAGGGGCGCGTCGTCCTCGGGCTCCACGAGCGGCTTCGAGAGGATAGAGTCGAGGACTCCCCAGTCCCCGATGTACGAGAGCAAGGCAGCACTGGCGAGCCACCACCGCCTCGCCGTGGTGCCGACGATCAGCGCCCGCGCCGCGAGCACCCACGCTGGCGGGTCAGAGGGGCGAGCGCGCGCTCCTGGCTCGAACGACCTCGAGCCAGAAAAAGCCTGAGCGGACACGAACGACAAGCAGGGCAGGACGAGGGATAGAACCTGCACTACTATCTTACACGGCCCACCCCCACCACACCACCCCGAGACGCGATCAATTAAGTTTGGAAAACGACCAAAGAAGACCTCGGGTCAGCGCAACGAGCAGGCACGCGCAGCGACCGCTGCGCTGCAACACAAGGGAAGCCATTCCCTTGAGCCAAATAGCTCTGGAAGACCAGGGGGCGTTGCGAAACTTCATTCACGTGGTGCGCCTCCAACTGGAGGCCTTATGAAATCTAAATGCGAAGTAAGACCGCTGGCAAATTCAACCAACCATGCCAACGAACGATCCCAGGACCAAGGACTCTCAGCAGGCAACACAACAACCTTTCGGAGTCGATCATGCCACTCGTGGCAGAGGCTTCTCTACACAGAACTCCAGACAGAAAAAGAGGAGGATGGATGGATGGGGAATACGGAAGGGGAGAGGGGGCAGGAGAAGGAAAGCTGGAGGATGAGGACTCACCTCTGTGGGTAGGAGAGGGAGGGGGAGGGTGGGGGAGAAGGAGGAGAAGGAACAGATGAGGCGCAGGATATCCCAGGGAACCCCAGTTTGAAGTGGACCCCAGGGCCCGCGGTCGTTCCGGTAGACTAACATGTTTGCTCGGCTGTTTCCCATCCCCTTTTCGTTGTGTAGCCCCGCGTTTTGGCAGTGCTTGCCTTGCAGAAGCAAACTGTGTCCCGCGTCTTTGGTCCCCACCCCGTCTACCCCCCACGCACAGGATATCATTCCCGTCTGGGCTTCTATCTGATCAGAAAGAGAAGGGCCTTGGAAATGGTGACGCCTTTGCGCGGAAGCAACGTGCTGACCAAGATTGTCAGCCCTGGTTCAAATGTACCCTCAAAGCGCAGCCGAACGGCGGCGCAGCACAAGCGCAGGAGGCCGTGGCCGAGGCGTCGGCCATCTGGAAATGCCCGCGCGTGGGCTGTCATGGCCCTCCAAACAGCCCTATGATTTGCCTCCGCTTCACGAGAGCGGATAAGAGAAGATAGACGAATATCTCACCATTCCATGATGCAGCGCGGAAATCTCAGAACAAAAACACCTGCCTGGAACATGTGACCCCATGTTCGGCGAAACATCTAAGTCCATCGAACAACGGATACCTGAAACTAGCGAGGCACAACCAATGTCGGAACGTATGAGTGAGCATATCGTTATTGCTTGAGGTATTGTAGTGTGTTTGGGTGATTGTGTTGCGTGCGTATGTGATGGTTTGCTCGTGCTGTCGTGCATTGTCTAGAGTCTAGCGTGAGCTGCCGCTGCTATTTTATGTGTGCGTGTGCGAACGCGCGCGCTTCATTTCAGGGTAGTACGACGCTGGCGCCGCGCAGTATTCTATATGATGGATGTTTGCTGTATGCTCCATGTGACATGTTATGTGGTTATCCTTACTTGCGCGCGCACAACATTATTCCACGACGTGGAAATACACAACGACGGATGATTCAGTTTCTGCTTGTTGCGCACGTCCCATCGCCCTATCAGCCTGTCGCATCGGCCTGTCGGCCCGTCGACCTGTCGGTCTTCCGCGCGGGCGGAAGCCCGATGGCCTCATCGGCCATTTGACTTACGGTTACTTCGGTATATCGCAATTACCGCCGTATCGGTCAATAGCCCAGTCGGTCGATCGGCCTATCGGCCTATGGGCTTATCGTGGTAGTCTCCCATCGGCATCGACCTCTTGTCCTATTGGCCTGCTGGCTCAACTGTTCAGTCGGCCGATCCTCTTATCGTCATGTTGGCCATTCGGCTGTTTTACCAGATCTTCCTTCATATCGGCCCATCGCCTTGCGCTTTCATCAGCCTATCGTCCTGTCGGCCCATCGTCCCATATATCGCGATGTCGGCCGATCGGCTCATCGGCGTATCGGCCGACTGCCCGATGAAGGCCAATCGTCATTTCGTCATATGGGCATATCGCCTCAGTGCCAATCGGCAGATCGTCCAATGGTTATGTCGGGGGGTCGGCCTCTCGACCGCTTGGCCCGATCTACCCATCGCCGCATCGGGTTGTCGCCCTATCAGCCTATCGTCCACTCGGCCCATCATCAGATCGTCAATTCGCGCTGTCGGTGTCTCTTCCTATCGCCGTAGCTGCCCAGTGCCCTACACAGGGCTGCCGTATAACCGTCTTGTCAGCAGATCGCCCTATTGCCATGTCATCATGATGGCCTATCGCCATGTCGGCCGATTGGCCTCTCGACAGTGGTGCCCGATCTGTTTATCAGCCTAGCGGTCGGTCGTCCCATCGTTGTACCGTCTTGTTGGTCAATCGGCCTCTCTGCATATGAGCATGGCGGTCGGTCGTTCTGTCGCCCGATCGACCGATCGGTCCATTGTCCGATTGCCATGTCGTTCCATTGCCCTGCACGGTCCAATCTGCACGCCGCCTCGTTGGCACATTGGCTTGTCGGCACGACGTTATGTGGGCATATCGCTTGTTCTGCCCATCGGCCTATTGGTCTATCGGCCTATCGTGCTGGCGTCCTGTCGGCCCATCGCCCCATCGGTAGATCGCCCTATCGGCATATTTCCGATCGGCAGGCATGGGCCATGGCTTTTTTGTAATGGTGCTAATGTGCCCGATTGTCCGATCGGCCAATCGCCAAGCCAACGATCGGCATGTCGGCGTATCGCCCTCTCGACCGATAGCCATGTCGTCCTATCGCCATCTCGGTCTGCCGTCGTCTCGCCCTATCTGCCGATCGGTTTATCGCCATCCCGTCCTATCGGCGCACTGGCATATACCAGCCTCTGGATAATTCGTCTTGTCGGTCCATTAACCCATCGGCGTGGCGCCCTGGCGACCTATCCCATGTAGCGGCACGTCGTCCGATCTTCTTCCCTGCCTACCGGACTGTCTTTACATCGGCCTCGCCCTATCGGCCGATCAGGAATTCGACCTGTTGCCCTATCTCACCATCCCCCTATCGCCCTGGAGCCTATCGCCACATCGGGCAGTTGCACGCGCGCTCGGCCGGTCGCACGTTCGCCGCGCGACCCCGTCGGCATACATCGTGTCGGCCCGCTGATAAGCCTGCACCTTGGCGAAGCGCCCTTTCTGATCACCGCCCTGTCGGCGTACTGCTTTTGTTTGCATATCGCCACATCGGGCGATGGCCTTCTCGACCGACCCGTCGTTTTGGCAAATGGGGCAATTTACCCCATCGCAATGTCGGCCTGTCGTCAGGCGTGCTCGTCGACCTAGCGGCCTATCGATCGATCGGCCTATCCGCACATTTGCCTGTCGGCCTACCGGTCCAGTGACATGGCCGACCGACCTGGCGGATGGTCGCCCGATCGGCCGACCACCTTGCCAGCTCGTCGTCCTGCCCGCCCACTGAACCATGCGCATATAGTTCGATCGGCTTCCGCTGACCGATGTTCGCACACATTGCCCCATCGGCCGACCTGTCGTCCAACCGCGGTGTCGCCACACAGTCATGTCGGCCGTTTGGCAGATCTGCCCATCGGCCTGCCACCCTATCTGCCAATCGTCACATCGGAACGTCGCCATATCGACCGACCCCATTGTCGGCCCATTGAACCGTCGGCTGGTCGCCCCTTCGACCGATCGGCCCATCGGCCACGCGGCCCACCGCGCAACCGCCGTATCAGAAGATCGCCTCATCAGCAGGCCGTCCCACCGCAGCGTTGGCTTACCTAGGTCCATCTGCCAATCGTCCAATCATCCAGTCAGCTTGTCCCCCCATAAGCATCTCGCCTGATCCGCCCATCGGCATGTCGATCGGCCGCTATATCGGACACCCGATCGGTCACCCGATCGGCTTGTCGTCCGATTGCCTTGTCAGCAAATCGGCCGATCGTCTTGCCGGCCCGTCGCCATATCGACCGATCGCCCAGTCGCGCCCATGCCATCGGTTGCGATCGCGGGCGCTACCTGGCGCGCGCGGGCCCGTGCCGCTGGCGGCTCAACGAGCGCGCGCGCGCGCTGCGCCTTGGCGGCGTGCGGGGATGGCCCGCACAACACCGTTTGCCACGTGATGTAGATGCACTGGCAGTGCGCTGGCGGCGCGCTGCCCCGCGGGTGAACTCGCGAGAAGTCTCGGCGGTTTCAGCGGCCACACACGCCCTCCCCCACGCCGCCACGCGCGCGCGCCCTCATGCCCCTCGCGAGCGAGGGTGCGCCGCGAGCGCCATTATGCGATGGCGGTCGCGGGCGGGGGGGGGAGGCGGAGGGGGTGGG